TCTTCATCCGCAGGCATCTTGACAGAGCCAACGGTCAGGTCGGTCTGGCTCCCTCTGTTCAAGTCTCGGGGTTTCCGACCACTTCTCGGGAAGATCTGGTCTCAGACTGCTGCCTGAGATATTTATAGATATTTATAGACTGCAGATATTTATAATTCTCCATAGGAATTGGTCTTCCTTTGAGACTATGAGGCAGATTCTTGGCCCCATTCCTTGTCATGACAGTACTAATCAAAGCATAAACTTCCAAAAAGCATTCCTGGGCCTGCTTCTCTTTGCTGGTATTTTCCTTCTTATCACTGGAGTCAGAGGTCAGAACACCAGGCAGAGGAACAGAAATGAGTACCACATACACACGGAGGGCACCAAATGCAGGACAAGCAGGACCACTGGCTCATACCTGCAATCCTCACTACTCAAGAGCCAGAGCTCAGGAGTATCACAGTTTGAGGCCAGCCCAGGCAAGCTCATGAGAGCCTATCTCAATTAAAAATAAAACCCGGGGAACGGTGGCACATAACTGTCATCCTAGCTACACAGAAAACCTAAACAGGAGGATCGTGTTCCATACCAGCCTGGGCATAAACTCGAGACCCTATTAAAAAAGTAAGTGGTAGAGCTCATGCTTAGTAAGTGCAAGGCCCTGAGTTCAAATCCTAGTATCGTGCGCGCGCGCGCGCGCGCACACACACACACACACACACACAAAGTAGTTGGGACAAGGCTGTACTGTCTGACAAATAGCACAGGAGAGTGACAGAAATTGACAGTCTTGCAGGGTGCACTCTGTAATCAAGTGGCCGATCAAGATTCACAAGAACCTTACGCAAGCACCAGTGGCTCACGCCTGTAATCCTAACCACTCAGGAGGCAGAGATCAGGAGGATGGCGGTTGGAGGCCATTCACAAGACCCAATCTCAAAAATACCCAACACAAAAAAGGGTGATGGAATAGCTCAATGGTAGAGCACCTGCCTAGCAAGTGTGAGGTCCTGAATTCAAACCCCTGTACCTCCAAAAAAAAAAAGACTCACAAGAACCTGGTAGTGGCAGACAAGCACAGGGGAGTACAGCTGTTGCGAAGAGATGAGTGATGGCGCAGGTTCCTTCATGCAAAGCAAAACGGAAGAGCACCTCCGATGGGAGGTGGGCAGACTCAAGCGGGAGCCATGACCTTGGAGGTCCCAAGATCTAAGGCTTTTATTGGGGTCTGCAGAAAACCCAGTCCTGGAAAACTGGGTTATGTGTCATTCACTCCTCCCACAAGTCAGGTAGTGTAGTGGGAAGTTTTGGCCTTGGATGGTCAGGCTTGAGCTGTTATTTTCTGTAGGCCTCAGGGCTGCCCGTCCACGAGACCCTGCTGTGTGTCACAAGCCATTCTGTTAATGTCAGCAGACCAGGATGGGATTCCTAACCAACACCCAAGCCATGGAGCTCAACATTGGGTTTCCCATTCCCTGCCCAGCCCCCACACCAGAAACTGACCCAGCAGAACGGCTCCCCCATCCCATATTGCTTCTTAGAACCGTAAAGTGGGATCCTACATGCAGGGAAACATGGGGCGTCTTCGTCCCAGGACGAACACCCCTTTGCTTGTTGGGGCCCAGGCTGCTGAGAATTCAGACGGGCTATGCACCCAGGGCACTTCCTACCCAGTTGGGGTCTCTGACAATTCTCATCCTCCAGATGGCAGCCAGCCTGGGTGGGGACTGCACACACCAGGGCTTCCTCTGGGCAGAGCAAGCTCTCACCATCCCATCAGAGCCCTGCCAACATGTCACAGTGACATTTGCAGAGGGAATGGTGCTCTGAGCCCCACCCCAGGGTCCCTGAAGGGGACTGTGCTTCCATGGCCCAGCCTGAGGTCTTCTGCCAATGGCTCCAGCACCTCCTACCCAAGAGCCTTCATGTGCCTAGAGCTGGCAGGGCAAAGTAGCAACAGCCCTGGAGGAAGGCTCGGCCAGGGTGACAGCTGCCCTGTGTCTTCACACTAAAGGGAACAGTCCTGAAGCCTGGTGACAATGTTCTGGGGACAATGGGTCCCCAGAAGGACTGTGCCACCTTTCCACAGCAACAGTCAGCTTGGTAGTACACCTGACTGGTCTTCTACCCAAATACTTACCTTTGGGTCTGCTTCTGGGAGAACCTAAACCAAGATAAGGAAGGAGATCACAGTGCCCCATGATGAACTGGGAGCTCTCTCCCTCTCTGAACTCCAGCCCAAGAAATCAAATGAGATGAGAAAGAAAAAAGCCCATGCTGGGGAGCCTTAAAACATTCTCCCAACCCCTCTGGGCTTCTGCCAGCTGAAATGCTGGGAGAGGAAAGGATTCCAGATAAGCATGTGTTTTGTTTTTAATTTGTTTTTTGCAGTACTAGGGATCAAACTCAGGACCTCATGCTTGCTAGGCAAGCACTCGACCACTTAAGCCACACCCCCAGGACACAACTTATCTTAAAGGTAGGGACAACTTTTTTTTTTTTTTTTTGCAGTACTGGGGCTTGAACTCAAGGCCTTCACCTCGAGCCACTTCACCAGCCCTATTTTTGTGAAGGGTTTTTCGAGATAGGGTCTCATGAACTATTTGCCTGGGCTGGCTTCAAACCTTTATCCTCCCGATCTGTACCTCCTGAGTAGCTAGGATTACAGGTGTGAGCCACCGGCGCCAGGCTTCTTTCTTTTTTTTTTAAGAGGCATATGGGTATCGCTGTGTAGCGCAGGCTGGTCTCGAACTCATACTCCTCCTGCTTCAGTCTCCCAAGTACTGAGATTACCTGTGCACACCACCATGGCCATCACCTCCACCCACATACCTTTTCTTTTTTTTGGTGGTACTGGATATTGAGCACGGGGCCTCATGCTTGCAAGGCAGGTGCTCTACCACTTAAGCCACACCTCCAGTACACACTTTTTAAAAATATGTAAAATGAACATCATTCATTTCAGTCCTATGGAGTATTAAAACTTAAGGTTCCGACTTTATTGAATAAAAGGATAGTGATGAGAAAATTCGCCCTGATTTTTAGCCACTACCATTTTGATGGCTGGCTAGTTTGAGAAGTTTCCACGTAGAGGCAGTCAGCTTTCTACAATTTCATCCTGAGATCAGATCCCAGGAGGCTGTAGGAGGCTGGGGACAGAGGCTGCACAGGAAGCTGGGGCAGGGTGGATGGTGCAGGGTCACAGCACAGAAACTTATGAGGGCATGACTGCATGTCACCATCACCCCTCCATGGGGTGGGACTATTATTATCTCCACCATCCAGAGGAGCTAGCAGCAGAGGAGGCAGCAGAGACCTGCACTCCTTGGCTAGTCAGCCAGGCTAAGTGAGGTTCTCTTGCACCGCAGACATCACTCTTACAGCACCGTGTGTCTCACTGAGGAAGTAGTCTCCCCGTCCTTTGCATCTCTAAACCCTTTGGGCTCCGTGCTCCTAACTCCCAGTTCATGATTCCTGGCCCTGACAGTCAGGCCTCAGTGTCTATAGTCAACAAAAGATCTTCCAAAAAAAAAAAAGCAACTGCCCCATCCTGGGCACATACGCACTTTTTATCATTAATCCCCAAATCATAACCCATAATTGGGTTATGCTGCATAATTGTTCATACAGCATTTATGTGTATCAAGCATTGAGTCATCTATAGCTGACTTAAAGTGTAGGATAGGACTGTTCTGTGCAAATACTATGCCAGTTTACATAAGGGCCTGGAGCATCCTCGGAGTTTGGTACCCTGGGGGTTCTGGAATCAGTCCCCAGTAGATCCTGAAAGATGAGCTACTCACATTTGGACCTCGCCCTCCACCAGCGACCCCCCAGACGGCCTTTGCCACCAGGAACCCCTTTGGCAGACCCATTACCCAGGGTATCTGGCAGGCAGCAGGTCAGAGAAGGGACAGGAGCAGAGTGGGCTCAGTGGTGGGGTCCTGCAGTTCACTCTGAAGCTCTCATGGAAGTGAATGGTGGGGAGCTAGGGACAGCAGAGCTCTGCTTTCCAGCCCTGTTTGAGAATTTTCTTCCCTCTGTTAATGGTGGCACAGTCCTTTCCTCACCCATCACGAACACGTGACATTGGCACCGTGCAGATCCCCCTTAAGGATGGAAAGATTTGTCCCTGCCCCCTACACCCAGCTGAGAGGACACAGCTGTGGCTGTAGAGCTGACTTCCCCAAACTCAGCCAGTTCTGGAGCAGCCCACATAAAACTACTGGTCCACATGGGGGTGCAAGCCCTGTCCCCTCACCCCAACTCAGGCCAAGCCCCAGGGTCATCCTGGCAGCAGTGCCGCAGAGGTGGCTGGCAGAGCTTTGGGACTCGCCCTACAATTCCTTCCAGCTGCTCAGATGTTCCCGCTGGGAATGGCCCTAGGAAATAGCCACTGCTGCCTGCGCTCCCATCTCAGGTTCCTTCCCAGGGAGTCACACTGGCAAAGCCCTCTCTCTCCTCCTTAGAGAGTCTCCCAATGTCACTGGTGCTTACCTGGGACCCCGCCCCAACCCAGCCTCACTGTGAACAGGCTTCTCTCTCCAGCCAGGGGCTCACTTACCTCCTGTGGGCCTGAGCAATGGTTTGTTTTTTTTTTTTTTGGTGGGGGGAGGTGACAAGACTCAAATGAGCAGGGCGGCCTGGGGTACCAAGTCAACCTTTAATCAGCAAACCTTAGAAAAGGACATGTGATGACTGGTGGCACAATTCAGTGGAATGACAGCCCCATGTGACTCTTCTCTGGGAGAGGGCGAGACTCCACAGCCCTGACCTTCTGGAAAGAGCCAGCCTGCGGTCAGGGGAGGACCCTGGCAGTGGAGAATGCTGGCTGCCCAGTTCTCATAGCACGTTTCACATGCCTCTTGGGAACAAGGTCACATCCAGCCTCAGGGGCTTCATCCCTGCCAGAAGCCCCAGGAGTGACCCCAGCACCTTCCGCCAGATTTGTCCCCGGCATGCTCTCTGGGTACTGGCAAGTGTTCTCTGTCCTGAGTACCCCAGGCATGGCGAGCTACTCAGACAGTGGGGTCTTCCTCTTTTGATGTGGGCTGCTGGGGACCAGGGTGGTTGGTAGACACAAGGGCCACAGAGTTTTTATGAGGCCTGAGGGGAGTCATGGCGGTCTCTGAAGAGCCAGGGTCCATCGAAGAAGGTGCCAAAGATTCAGTCAGGAGGGTGGCAGGCAGGGGCCACCTGGCTGTTGTCCGGGCCCCAGAGGCAGTGATGGAGCTCTCTGGAGTGAAAGGTGGCCAAAGAGCCTCTGGAGAAGTTGGAGGTAGAGTGGAAGGTCCTGGAGGGACAGAAGGCTCTGGTGAGGGCCAGGGGGGCTGGGAGGCTGTGGGTTCCCCTGGAAAAGTGCCCCTAGGCTCCAGAGGGGGTGAGGGCAAGGTCTGTGTTCCTGGGGGGCCCGTGGGTAATGTCTGCACGGTAGACAGGTTTGTTCCCAAGAGCAGCTGGAGGAGATGGAGTGCTGGCCTTGGAGGTGATGCCGACGGGGGCCCAGGACAGGAGGTACAGTTGACAGGGGCCTCAGGGTCTCCATGGGGGCTCTGAGCAGCTTTGCCAAGCACCAGGCCATCGTGAGGGGAGAGCCCCTGCCTTTCTTCCAGAGGAGACAGGGAATCTAGAGAGAGGTAGGGGAAACAGGTACAAAAGTTCTCCCCAGTGGCTGAGGTGGCTCTGGGACAGCCAAGTTGGGGACAGACACTTATCTGTCAGTCCTCAGAAGGCCTCAGCACCACTGAGAATCAGCTGGTCCCTGCCTCCAGGGACAGAAGACTAAAAGGAACCATGAATGGAGGGGGTTGTTCACCAAAGCAGCTCTGCCAAGAATTTGCAGTGTGACTTGTGCAAGGCACAGAACCCCTTAGGCCTCCATTTCCCACCTGAAAAATGGGTATAACAGTAATGACTGAGGACTGAATGAAAGGGCGCGCAGAAAGCTTCGGCCTAAGACCTTATGTGCACTGTGGCTTTGGGTGTTAACAACACATCAGCACAGGCCTCGGTGATGACAGCAGATGTGCCACTCTGGTGTACGATGGTGACAGCTGGGAAGACAGTGTGTGTGGACAGTTGGGAACATATGGGAACTCTGTATTTTCCATATGATCTTGCTATTCAAAAACTAAAGTCTACTAACAAAATTTTAAGGCTGGATATGTAGCTCAGTGTTGGAGTACTTGGCTGGCATGAGCATGGTCCTGGGTTCTGTCCCCAGCACCACAAAAAATTTAGAAAAATAAAAAATAAGTAAGTCTTGGCCTATAGAGCCTGGCATATCAGAAGAGCTCAGAACATGGGAGAAAAATATGGGAAGAGGCCAAGTGAAAAGAAGATGGGGGCTGGCGGAGTGGCTCAAGCGGTAGAGCGCCTGCCCAGAAAGTGTGAAGCCCTGAGTTCGAATCCCAGTACCACCAAAAAAAAGAAAAGAACATGAGCAGAGAAGACTGAAGAAAGGTATGGTGGGGAAGATAGATGTTGTTGAGCACATTTTAAAAAGCTGGAATGATTAAGTCTTAAATCCTCTAGAAGATGGCTGCACAACTCTGTGAATAGCTAAAAACACTGAGTCAGACACTTTTTTTTTTTTTTGGTAGTACTAGGGTTTGACCTCAGGGCCTTGCACTTGCTAGGCAAGTGCTCTGCCACCTGAGCCATGCCGCCAGCCCTTTTGCTTTAGTTATTTTTCAGATAAGGTCTTGTTCCCACTTCTGACTGGAGGCCTCATCAAGTAGCTGGGATTATAGGCACGTACCACCACCTCAGCTAATTTGTTGACATAGGGTGTCACTAACTTTTTTTTTTGCCTTGGCTGGCCTCAAACCACCATCCTCCCATCTACATCTTTAAGTAGCTGGGACTCATGTGAGTCACCGTACATGGCAAATCATACACTTTGAAAGTGTGAATTGGATGGCACATGAATTACATCTCAAGAAAGCTGTTATTTTAAAATCATCAAAGGAATGAATTCCTATTGTACTTTTTTTTTTTTTGTGGTACTAGGGCTTGAACTCAGGGCTTCACGCTTGCTAGGCAGGCTCTCTACCACTTGAGCCATTCCACCAGCCCCCCCACAACCCATTGTACTTTAATAAAAAGCTGTAATTCTGTAAAGGGAGCTCTGGTAAGGAAGAGATGTGTAGCAAACACAGCAGAGACTCATGGCCAGGAAAAGGACTTGGCTCTGCATGTCTCTCCTTTGGGTCTCAGTTTCCCCATGTGGAGGCAACAAGGACAAAATGCACAAGAGCACGAGGTAAGATGGAAAGAGACTTAAGAGTCCAACACCACCAACTAGAAACTTAGCTTAGCCAAGCCTCTATTTTCCCATCTGGAAAATGGGGATAATAACAGCAGCTGGGCCCAAGCATTCCCGTGAGCAGTCAGTTCACTGCCTGGCATGCTCGCCAACAGCGAGTCTCTAGAAGGGCTATCTGCCTGGCAGAGGAGTTTGTAGGGGGAAAATAAAGTCCCCCGCATCACGTGCCCAGGGGCTCGGTGGCTGGCCCCAGTCCCATTGGTCCTGACACAGACATCAGAGGGTACCCTCAAAAGCCAAAGGAGTCAGGCAGACATTTCACAGAAGGAAATGCAGGCCACAGGTCAGTGAAAAATTCTTTGCATTCCTAGTTTAAAAGATGCTAAAAGGCCGGGCGCCAGTGGCTCATGCCTGTAATCCTAGCTACTCAGGAGGCAGAGATCAGGAGGACCATGGTTCAAAGCCAGGCTGGACAAATAGTTCATGAGACCCTATCTCAAAAATACCTAACACCAAAAGGGCTGGTGGAGTGGCTCTACCAGGTGGTAGTAAGCCTGTCTAGCAAGCATGAGGCCCTGAGTTCAAACTCCAGTACCACAAAAGTAAATAAATAAATAAATAATAACTATGCTGGGAAGAAAAAAAAAAAAAGCACGTTTAAGCTACTTTTTAAACTGCAAAGTTTTAAGTTCTAAACAGACAGTTGGGGGAATGTGAGGATCCATCTACATCACGGTGCTTTTTTTTAGGACCTATTTGAACCTATTACCCATCTGATAACAACAGGGCAACACAGTTGCGGGAAACGCCACTCCTCGCCCTACACCCTGTGACCCAGTAACTCCCCTGTCAGCCACCCGGTCCCACACAACTCACAAGATTTATAAACAAACAAACAAAAGTCTAACCAAAGATTTCTCCATAGGAGGTCCATTATGGATGGCTGGAAGAAAGAAGGAAGGACAGAGGGAGGAAACCACCTAAATGTCAACTGGAAAGGTTGAAGGTAGGCAAACCAGCACAAGAGGATATAGCAGTCCCCCTTATCCAAAGTTTCATTCTCTGCAATTTCAGTTAGTCATGGTCAGTTGCTGCCCCAAAATAGTAATGGAAAACTCCAGAAATAAATAATTCACATGTTGTAAATTGTATGTCATTCTGAAGAGCATGATGAACTCTTATACCATCCCACTCTGCCCTGCATGGGACGTGAATCATCTGTCTGTCCAGTGTATCTACACTGTATGTGCTACCAGCCCGTTAGTCAGTTAACAACCTTCTCAGTTATCGGATCGACTGTTGCTGGGTCACAGTGCTTGCACATATAGTTCAGCACCGTCCACAGTTTCACGCATTCTCTAGGGGGTCTCAGAGAGTGCCCCCACAGGTAAGGGGGACTACGATTCTTAAGAGATTTTTAAGTGGCCAACTGTGGGTCACACCAATATTTCAAAACTGGGTTAACTGGCTGCTGTGTCCTGCTTGTAACTACATAAAAAAACCACATGGACAAGCCAGGTGTGGTGGCTTGTCCTGTGTTTCTGAGATAAGCAGAGGGAAGGAGATGATGGTGACACTCTAGGACCCAGGGCCCACTTACCTGGGCAGGAGAAGCAGCAGTCCCCAGGGAGCAATAAGGAGTCACTGCAGGCCGGCTGACAGGGGATCTTCTCACAGCTCACTTCTCCTAGCTGGGGAACCAGGACACCGTGAGAAAGCCCAGAGCACCCCACACATCCAGGACAGTGCGCTCGAGGGCTGCCTACACCGGCAGCGGGACCCACAGAAAGGTGCTGGGTCAACAGGTGACCCAGTCACAGCAGGGCCACTTCATCTGGACTTCCACAAAGAGCAGGGAAGATTGGCCAGAAGCAAAGGCATTCATTAAAGGTGAATGACAAGAGGAAGAGGACAGACTCCACTCAGCTCAGGAGCTCTGTGTGGCAAGAAGCAGCTCCCAGCCGGCAGCCCTTGGAGCCCCCGGCCAGCTCACCTGGCACGTGCACCGGGTACAGGGCTTATCGTCCAAGGTGAACACCTGGCCGTTCACCACCTTCCTCCCCTCATAGTTGCAGTCTGCAGAGGCAGAGGAGACAGGCTCATTAGAGCCAGGCCCACCCAGGAGCCTCAGGTACAGGGCAGCTGGTCCCACTCACCACGGCACACGGGGCAGCACTCGCCATCGGGGTGGAAGGGGTAGGTACAAGAGATGGGGCAGTCCACAGGTGAACAGGCCACTGAGCCCAGCTGCAGGACACAAAATGCACAAGGGCCTTTTCTGAGAGAAGGTAAAGGGTACTCACTCAGCACCAAGCACCCCATCCAACCAGTCAATGTCACGTCAAAGAAACGGCCATGTTGTGGCAGGGCAGGGCAGGGGGAGGCAGTGATGGTGGCATTGACTCCCTTAGGGTCTTTCCTGCTAGGACACACCTCACAAGGGCAAAGCCTGGCCTTGCCCACGAGTTCATCTGTCATCAGCTGCCTATGAGCAATGCACAGACCACCCAGTTAAACTGAGTACCAAAAATCAAAGATGGCTGGGCTGTGGCTCAGAAGCACAGCACTTGCTTAGCACAAGCGAGCCCCTGGGTTCTATCCTCAGCACCATGAAAAAAACAAAGAGGAACAGAGGAAAGAGGCCAGAAGTAAAGCTCCCCAAAGCATGTGGCCAGGAGCGAATGAGGCTCCCTGGTCACAGATATGTTTTCTCAGAGTGTCTCAATCTTTCTGTAACCTGGTCCCTTTTTGCTGACACCTCGAAGGCACACCACTGCCACCAGCGGTGCAGCTCTCTCGGCATTGTTTCAGCATGACAGGCAGTGGGACTTTTCCCCTTCTTTTCCAAATACTAAATTATACCATGCTTTCCCAGACTGACAGGCGGGGTGGCTGAGGGGGGCACATGTAGATTCTGGAGCAGACATAATAGGCTAGGGTTCCATTCCCGGCTCTGTGACTAACTAGTCTGGAATCGTGAGCAAATGACTTTGTCTCTGCACCTTGGTTCTCTTGTTGAGAAAGAAAGAGAATTCTCCAGTAGATTCCCTGAGTTCATGCACACAAGGGGTTTAGACTCAGACATGCACAGAACAAGAGCTCAAGTGTACGTATGTGAAAAAGACCCCAGCATAGAGCCCTGAATCTGTGCTCTTGACCTCCACCCTCAGCAAGAATCCCTGGACCACATTTTATGCCAGGAGAGGACAACTATAAGACCCTGCCTAGAAACCACACGCAGAGGACATTGACCAGTGGAATTTAAAATGGTTCTCTGGCCCTGGCCAAGATTCACCCTGGGCTGGCTGGAGGGAGTTGACTTTCCCCAGGACTCAGCAGCCTCCCTTCTCTGGGGCTCTGGCTTTTGCCTCTGGGTGCAGGAGCTGTGGTCAGGGTTGGGACACTTCTAGGACCCAGGGTCAGGTCAGGGTGGTGCGTACCAGACAGATGCAGCTCAGACACGGGTCCAACACTGATGGGAAGGTCTCATTGTTGTAGAAGATTCTACCCCTGTAGGTGCAGCCTGCCAACAGAGCATGTGGTGAGCAGCAGCCAGGGGGGTGGCTGGTGATGAACAGGCTCCTGGCCAGGACGAAGGTCAGAAGCTTATCTGGGTAGCAAGGGTCAGGCCAGGCGCCTGCCCAGGCAGCCACTGTGGGGTTAGGCAAATGACAAAACACGCCTCAGAACTGGGTGCTGACTGTTTTCTGTACTGGATTTGGGAAGGGGATCACAGTGGGGTTTTTTGGTTTTGTTTGAGGTTATTTTTGGTGGTACTAGGGTTTGAACTTAGGGCCACGTTTGCCAGGCAGGCTTTCTACCATTTGAGCCATGCCTCCAGTCCTTTTTCGCTTTAGTTATTTTTCAGATAGTGTCTCATGTCTGTACCAGGACTGGCCTGGTACAAGCTGGATTGGTTGAGATGGGGGCTCACTAATTTTTTTTTTTTTTTTTGCAGTACCAGGGCTTGAACTCAGGGCCTACACCTTGAGACACTCTACCAGCCTTCTTCACGATGGGGTTTTGGAGACAGGGTCTCACAAACTACTTCCCCAGGCAGCTTCGTACCTTCAATCCTCCTGATCTCTGCCTCCTGATTAGCTAGGATTACAGCCATGAGCCACCAGCTCTCACTAACTTTTTGACCAGTCTGGCCTGGAATGGTGATCCTCCTGATCTCTATCTCCCTCACAGCTGGGATTACAGATATGAGCCACTATGCCCAGCCCCACAGTCTTCAGTGCTCTTGTCCAGAAACGGTTGATGCTGGGATCAGGGTCAGAGTCAAGCAGAGGGACTGGGAGACACAAGTGGTGCTGAAGACCAACGAGGTCTCTGCCCAGCCCCATTCAGCCAACCTCACACCCACGTTCCAGAACACTCCTAATGCCCCGGAGGCTCCATCTGAATGAAGCCACCTTGATGAAATGTGTCACATACTGCTGTGGATAAAAGTAGATGGTGAACTGGGGGCATGGCTCAAGTAGTACAGCAAGTGTGAGGCCCTGAGTTCAATCCCCAGTACCACAAAAATGAACAAACAAAGCAGAAGGTGAAACAGTGCGGAAATTTTATTTTTTGTTGCTGTTGGTGGTTTTTGTTTGCTTGTTCATTTTTTGCAGTACTAGAGATTAAACCCAGGGCCTCAAACTTGGTGGTAAGTCTTTTACCACTGAATTACACCCCCGGCCCCTATTTTATTTGTTTTTTGAGTCACGGTCTCACTATATAGTCCAGGCTGGCCTCAAATCTGAGATCTTCCTGCCTCAGCCTCCTGAATAGCTGGGGTTGCAGGCATGCTACCATACCCAGCCCTTAGGGAAAGATTTTATAAGAACAAAATATATAATAGCTGTCTATTAATTGCTGTATGTGCCACAAAAAGCCACTAGAAAGACATGGGTTAATAGTGGTAATGGGCTTTTTAAACTTTTTTTTTGCCTTTTGTATTTCCATTTTTCAATATTCTACAATAAAATGCTAATAGTGAAAAAGGTAAAAATTACTATTAAAAAAATACAATTTCAAGCAGGTGTGGTGGCACATGCCTATAATCCTAGCACTTAGGAGATTGAGACAGGAGAATCTGATCTGAGGAAGACCCTGTCTCAAAAACACAAAAGAAAACAAAACAAAGTTCTGCCTCATTTTTGTCTCTTGTCTCACTGTTCTCTAATTGTCACTCAAGTCTGGTTCCTGTGTTGCACACCCAGAGGCTATAAGCTATGTGTCTTCATAGCTGTTTCCAGCACCCCAGCAGGGATGGCCTCAGGCAAACTGCTTAACTTCCCCAAGTCTCAGTCTCCTCATCTGTAAAATGGGGATGTCCTCACAGGACTGCTAGGAGGATGGCAAGAAATGAGGCCTGTACGGCGCTCAGTGAGGAGGAGCATGGTGCAGGTAGGCCTGAATGCCAGGACCAAGAGAACCATTTCTTGGGTGGGGGTGGGCCAGGATTACCTGCTGAACAGTCTGGGCAGCACTGTCCAGGGATCCGGATGGGGTGGGGGCAGGAGTCTACGCAGTCCGTCCTCTTGCAGCTCACTGAGCCATCTGCCTGAAGGAAGGAGGACTTCACCAAGACCCCACCTGGGACACCAGTGCCCGCTTCCCTGCTTGAAAGGAGCGACAACATTGCACACTGGCCATAGCTGTCCACAAGGGTGCCAGAAGCAGCTAGAGTGTAGCAGGTCTCCCCAGAGAGGACCAGCTGCTCAGGAAAGGCAACATGAGCCTTCACAAAGGTCTCGCCTGTCTCAGGAGAGGGGGGTTAGAACAGAGATTCTGGTCTCCTTGGCTTCCTGACCCTCTGCAGCAGCCATCAAGGCTGCACCATCGCCCCTCCACATTCTTCTCTCAGCGTTTTCCTGGAACCCTGGCTCACCCCAAACCTAAGGAGAACAATAAAATCCTATTTTTATAGAAAACCATTCCTCCGGAAATGCCTATTTCAGAAGCCCAAAATGCCATACAAGGGTTCTTCCTTTCTTCCTTTTTTAAAAGAATCTACATGTTTATGGCCCTCTTATTTCACTCTCAGTTATAAAGGCGAGAACAGCACAGACCGGTCTCTCCTCCCACATCTACCTCCAGGGTGATGTGCTCAGCTTTGAAGGGCCTGAGGCACAACGAAAGCATCAAAGGCACTTGAGGGCCTGGCACTGACGTGCGCACTAAGCACCCAGACATGTGGACAGGGCCTGGGAGCCTGCATGACTAACAGGGTCTCCCAAAAGGTGCCCCCATGCCATGCTGTGGGTGCAGGGACCTCATTTTGAGAAATAAAACTCTCAGGGACTCAAAGTCTCTTCAAGTAGAAAGGAACACCAGTGTGTAGTTAAATAACTAGCTAAAACCACTGCACATCTGGGTGAGTAGCTGTGTTTGCATTTCTCTCAAGTTGACTCTCAAACACACATCCCTCTTCTTATCCACTTCTGCAAAGGTGAGGTCATGGGGTTCAGGTTCGTGAAGAACACTGCAATGTCACATAGCAGTCACCCAGTCCCCTCCTCAAGCCACGCCCCATGTTACTTTCTGGGTTTCTGAGTCTGACCCGTAAAGGCAGCCACCCCCTACATAAGCTGAGTCACACACAGCTCCCAAGGCCGACCACCCAGCTCCCCTGTCCTCAACCGTCCACCAAGGACAGGACGAATGCGTCCCAACTCTTTCCAGGAGGGTGAATGAGTTGGGCTAGAGGAGGCCCAGTCTCAGAGGCGGGTGGACAGCCGGGTAAAGCAGCTGAAGGCGAGCAGGCTGTCATTCACCTGGCAGATGCATAACTCACAGGGATCACCAGGCGACCAGATCTGTCCAATTGGAAACTCGACCCCGTTGTCATCAAGAGAGCAGCCTGGCGGAGTTGGGGGGTTGGGGAGGGGAGAAGGGAGGGAGAAAGGACAGTGAGCAGAAGACCAGGGTGAGGCTCAGCAGTAGAGTGCTTGCCTAGCATGCTTGAGGCCCTGGGTTCACACCCGACCACCACAAAAAAGAGGGCAGAGGGCAGAAGTGCTCGCTGGACCTACAGCACCACCTCAAGGATGACATCTCATGCTCACACGCACACACATCACCATACACAAGCTTACACAACCACAAACTCACGCTTACACGTACACACAAACACACTCACAGGCATGCAAACACATGGACACATCCCAAAAACACAGGACGTGCACACTCAAACACATTTAGACACACACATGAACTTACACACATGCTCCCAAGCCACAACTCACACACACACAAACTCCTACCAAATATAATGTACACATTTATGTACACACAAGTGTGCACACTCAGACATACCAGACACACAAATATATAAGCACAAAGTCATTGCACAGTCATACAGATAACCACTCACAAAAAAAAACACTCAGTGAACCCACACACATTCACTCACACACACTATATAAAACACACTCACTCATACACACTCACTCAGATATACCATTCACACACTAATACCTAGACACACAACTTACACACACTTGCACAAGACATACTCACGCACAAGTACCCTTCAAACTCACACAAGCACTCATACAAAAACACGGACATATACATACTCACAAACATATTGTGACACACAGTAATACTCACCCATACAAACCTACACGCTCAGTCACAACTCATACAAACACAGACACAAGCACACACACTCGCAAACATACATACATGCCCCAACAGTCTTGAGAAAGAAGTGCAGCCTCCCTCCTGGGCATTAAACCCTGTCCTGGTGCCACCTGGCAAAGCCTCACCTGTGGTGGGTGTGGGCTTCCGGCAGGTGAAACAGCACTGTCCCGGGCCCAGCCACCACTCCTCTCGGGGACAGTCCAGCTCTGGACATGGCGTGAAGGAACATTCCACCTCCCCATTCTGGAAGAGAACCAAGGTCATAGGCAGTGAGGGCGGGTCCCCAATGAAGAGGAGGCTGGTGGGCAGTCATTCCCCTTTCCTGTCCCCGTCAAGGAAAAGTGATAAAGAAATCTCCAGGGAAGCAGGCTCACACCTGTAATTCTACTTGGGAGGCTGAGAACAGAAGGATGGTGGTTTGAGGCCAGCCCGGGAAAACAGTTCTAAAGATTCCATCTCCAAAATAACCAGTGGAAAATGTACTGAAAGTGTGGCTCACGTGGGAGAGCACCTGCTTTGCAAGTGTGATGCTCTGAATTCATCCACAAAAAGAGAAATTTCCAGGGGGACAGAGCGGGGAGGGAAAGGCAAGTCCTTCCTTGGGGGTTAGGAAAGAGTCCTTGGAATTACTGGGTATATCCCCTCTCCTACCTAGCTGGACCTGCATCTCTCACCCTCCCTCCAGAACCCACATCCATCCAGGCTCTCTCCTCCTGCTCTCCACTCTCGCTCCCCCAATACACTCTCTGTAGCCACAGGTCTTTTCTGGGCACCAGTCGGATCACATCACTCCCCAGCTCTGAACTTGCAGCAGCTTCCCCGGCCCAGATAGCAAACCCCTTCCAGACTGGGCCTGAGACAGAGGTGACTGCTCCCACCCAGGACCCCTCCCCTAAGTACTGCCACTGGCTGACAGCAGCCACCCCCCAGAGACAGCTGGGGGGGGCCCTTCACCCCATGCCCATAGGCTGTGGGTTCCCAGTCTTCAGCCCAGCCGGTCTCTGTGACACCATTCACACTGCAGAGCTGCCCCTGGATCTGGTCTGAGGCTATTTCTTCACTCAGCTTCTTCCCCTGCCCTGTCCGCCTCCCAGCTGACTTCTCCTGAGAGAAGTCACTCCTGTCACTCAGCTGTACATGAATCCCATCTCCAGGGAACCCAAGTCAAGACAGATGCCTGCTGTAGCTGTGCCTTCTTTCTGCTTCCACTTCACTCTCTCCTGCTCCAGCCGGAAGGGTGGCTTCTGTCCTCCTGCCCTCTGCTGCAGTCTGTGAGGCAGTGTCCTCAGCACCTCACCTCACTAGTCCCAGCCACCCTGCAGGTCTCCACTGAGCATGCCTGCCCCCAAGAAGGCTTTGGGCTCTGGTGACCTGGCCATGTCCAGGCTGTGGGCTGCCATAAAGAGGACTAGGGCTGTCCTATGCTGAGCTGTGTCCTCCGTACACAGTAGGTGCTCTATCAACAGCAGAGCTGAAGGGTGAACTTTAAGGAGACTGCAGGAAGGCCGTGGGGATCCTGGCCTACTGCCCTGATCTATGACTCTGCCTTGATCTCCCTTTTGCTGCGTGGCAGGTTATCTTCTTCTGGGCAAGGTACACTGGGTGAATTCCTGTGCTGCCCACCCCTTCCACACCTCCCACCGATTCAACAGGCGCTGGGACCTCAGCCACCCTACCTGACAGATGCAGGTGGTACAGTCGTCACCACCCCCACTGAACACAGCCCCGTCCGCATACCACCGATCACGGAAATAGCATCTCACTGCAGAGGACAGAGCGGGAATCAATCGGCTCAGAGACTTTGAGCTGGGGAAGGTAGAGGAAAAGGGGACAGGTGGGTGCAGGGATGTGGGGAAGTCACTCCCACATACCCGAACCCAGAGTCCACTTCCCCTTCAAACCCCAGACACAGGACTCACTACTTAAAACCTGACAGAATGAATCGGACACAAAATGAGGTCCTTAGCCAAAAAAGCCAGAGGAAATCCTAAATAATTAAAGAGTAAGAGAAAAAGGAAATCAGGAGAAACTATTCCAGACAACTAAGACCAAAGTCTGACCAGGATATAGTGAGAGCCTTGGATCTGAAGATCTTTCTGAGCTGAAACCAGCCAAGGAAACTGGCCCGCTCATGTTTACTCAGGTGGCTCTGGGTTCAAGTCCCAGCTACACAATGCACTAGGGTCTCACTCCAGCAAACAGACTTAGCGCTCTTTAAGCCACAGTTCTCACCTGTACAATGGAGCTGATAACGGCTCCTACCTTATTAGGGACTAGAGTGACTATTCAAAAAGAATTTAAACTTTTTTTTTGTTTCTTAGTGACCCTGAGGTTTGAAATCAGGGCTTAGGACTTGCAAAGCAGGCATTCTAACACTTAAGCCACATCTCCAAGTCCTCAAAAAGAACTTAATTAAAAATAACACAACATTTAGGCTGGGCACTGTGGCTCATGCCTGTAATCCCATATATTTGGGAGGTAGAGCTAGGAGAATCACTGCTTGAAGCCTGCTCAAGCAAACAACAACAACAAAAAAGTTAGAAAGACCCTATCTCAGCTGGGCACTGGTGGCTCACGCCTGTAATCCTAACTACTCAGGAGGCAGAGATTAGGAGGATCACAGTTCAAAGCCAGACCAGGCAAATAGTTCATGAGACTCTGTCTCAAAAAAACCCATCACAAAAAAGGGCTGTTGGAGTGGTTCAAGGTGAAGGCCTTGAGTTCTAACCCCAATAGTGAAGGAAAAAAAAGACCTTATCTCAAAGAACAAGCCAGTTTGGTGACACATGCCTATGATCCCATCTATCTGGGAGGTAAAAGAAGGAGGATCGAGGTCTGAGACCCATTCCAGGCAAAATACATAAGACCCTATCTATAAAATAACCAAAGAAAAAAGGGTTATGTTTATGGCTCAAGTGGCAGAGCATCTGCCTAGCAAGCTTGAGGCCCTGAATTCAAACCCCAGTATATGAGGGAGAGAGAGAAAGAAGGCGGGAGGGAGGAACAGAAAGAGAAAGAAAGACACAGAGAGAGAGTATTTAAAAGTTAAGAAAAAATATTTTAAAAGAATACTACCTTTTCTAGGGTTACATTTAAGAAAAAAAGAAAGGAAAGAATACTAGCTTTGAAATCAAGGTAGACTTGAGATCAGGTTCTGCTCCATTACTGTGTGTCTTTGGGCCGTCACTTGACCTCTCATCAAGAGATTTTCTCATCTATAAAAAACAGCAATAAATAGTCCTCCCTCAGGTGGTGACAGGAGTCTGGCAGGTGCCCCACACAGCAGGGGCACAGAGCTGGCAGGGAACATCAATGATGGTGATGAGGTGATCTCAGGAAAGACAAGCATGTTTTTATGTCATTAGTGAGTTAATAGAGAGCTCCCTCCCTGTCTAGGGACAGAGCAATGCCTGTCCTGCCAAATTAGGTGCCTCCTGGGTCAGGAGGCAGCCTAGGCTGAGAGCACAGCCTGACATCCAAACCACCACGCACACACAGTAAGTGCTCCACAAAAACGAGCAACTGAGGCTGGTAGAGCGGCTCAAGCATTAAGAGCGTCTGCATAGCAAGCATAAGGCCCTGAGTTCAGACTCCAGCACCACTAAGAAACAAAAACAAGCAACTGAAATGCTTCACTTGATCTTGCTTTTGAACCAGCAGTCAGTCTCCTCCCCTCCTTCCCTCTCCCTGCCCCAGTACACACTCCAAAGAACCTCTCCCCGCACACACAGACAGTCGCTTACCCGGGACACAGGTACAACAGTCTGACTGCGAGACAGTCTCACAGGGGCCAGAAGGACACTCGGGTGAGATGCAGGACACATTTCCAGCCTAAAGAGGCAAAACAGGGTAGTGGGGGCAAGGGTGGGACAGATGTCTGCTGACCTTCGGGACCAGCGCAAACGAGCCCTTTCCTTTTTATACTGTGCCTTTCCAACATGATAGCTGCCTAAAGGAAGCTATCTGAGACCTGCAATGCCACCATAGTCACAGGTGGTACTTGCTATGGAGAGGTTGGAAGACTGTTCTTTCAAAGGCTCATGGTTGCATGGGAAAGGCCAGGGCAGACAAGACAGCAAAGCGTGCCACTGCCACCTTCCTTATGCAAAAGTGCCCAGCAAACAGAAGGGCTGGGAGGATGCTGCAAGGCGGGTCCAGGTTATTCCTGGTGGGAAGGAGACCCTCTGCCCCTTCGTGGGCAGCTGGGTCTTGACCCAAGTGGCTCTTATTAGACAGTCAAAGAATTAACTTTAAAAATAAATTTTAAGGTGGCTGTGATGGCTCAAGCCTATAATCCTAGCTACTTGGCAGGCTAAATTCCTCCTGGGTCAAGGTTGGAGGGCAACCCAGGCAAAATAAAGTTTGAGAGACCCCCATCTTAATGAGAAAAGTCAGGCATGGTAGAGCACGCCTGTCATCCTAGCTATTGCAGGAATTGTAAATTAGGAGGCTGACACTTTCCAGGCTGGCCTCGGCAAAAAGCAAGACCCTATCTCAAAAGCAAAAAGAGCAAAAAGGGCTGCAGGCATGGCTCAAGCAGTAGAGTACCTACCTATCAAGCACAAAGCCCTGGGTTCAAACCCTGGTACTGCCAAAATAAATAAATAACAAATTTCAAAAGTTTGAAATTAAGATCAAAAAGCCTTCAGCTTTGCAGTTATCTAGGCCTGAGTTCCAGTGTCTGTCTGATCCTCTACTAATAAGAACCCAGGCAAAGGTCATGACATCTTCGAGCCTCAGTCTCCCCATCAGTGAGACGGGTAGAATCAGCGTCCTTCTCTTTACACGAAACGAGTTGTATGAAAGTGCTTCGCACACAGGAAGAATTCAGTGAGGGACACGAGCCACTGTCCACATGCCCCTATCTTAAGCCACACCTTCTGTGTTTGTGGACAGACCAGGAACCTTTTTTAAAGATAGCCAGAGGGTGGCAATAAGGGTGTGGATAGAGCCAGGTTCAAATCCCAGCCCTCCCACCTCTCAGTCTCAGTCTTTGCATCTGAGAACAGGAGCAGCAACAGACGCAGGAGCTTCCTGGAGCCTCAGGGGAAGAAACGATGAAGGGCACCAACCCTGTCTCTGGCACACAGTGAGTGCCCACAGTCAAATCCATGTGGAGGCATCTGGCACTGTGAGGCACACAGGAGGTGCTTACTGACTACTTTTGGAGGAGTAAACTTGCCAAATCATTTTTTAAAGCAGTACTGGGGTTTTTAACTCAGGGCTTTGCCAAGCGCTCTATCACTTGGGCCACACATCCAGCCCTTTTGCTTTAGTTTATTTTTTCAGATACAGTCTCACATATTTCCCCAGGCCAGCTCGGACCTTGATCCTCCTACCTCCTCCTCCCATGTAGCTGGGATTACAGGCATTAGCCACCATACCTAGCCCACAAAACACTCCTAATAAACCAAGTGTGGTAATGAGCCGTCTCCCTCCCAGATGTGGACACCTCTGTTGTGCTGGCAAATATTTTGCCTGGAGAAATCAGCCTCCCTTGGGGAAGTTTCTGAGGGAGTTTTATCCCTTCCCTTCCCAGACAGATGGCCCCTGTTTGCCTTTGGCTCTTTCCTGCCCAGCAGAAGGCTCCCTGAGCCCACCAGCTTACAGCATTTACTCTTCCCCCAGTCTTTTAAATCTGACCAAAATCTACAATGTGAGACTGCTCCCTTCCAGGGAAGAAGCTCACCTTTAACATCCAGTCTCCTCCCTCTCTTCTAAACCCCCAAAGGTTAAGAAAACACAGCGAGGCTCCAGGGATCTCGTCATGCTTACCAGACAGACACAAACAGTGCAGTTCTCGTCGGGAGGTGAAAACACGTCCTCCTCTGCTCGGAAGGCGCCACTGTGAAAGCAGCCTTTGAAAGACAAACCGGAGGTGGTAGCATCAACCTCTTCAAAGAAGAGGAAACTGGAGGTCTGTCTACTTTTCCAGGCATAAAGCATCTGGAACCTTCTCCCACTGCCCTGGATGCCCCACAGCTCAGTTTTCCCGAACTGTGTAGTCCTAAAATCCCTGAGGAGACATCGATCGGCAAGACGCACAGGCTCAGGAGGGTCCATTGATGTCAGGTAAAGCCACATTATCTTGAAAGTGCAGTATTTTATCCCCACCATGCAGGACAGGCAGCTGGACAACCTAGCCTCCTTGGGAGGCTGCGATCAGGGAGATCGAAGTTCAAGGCCAACCCGGGCCAATAGTTCGCAATCCTGTCTCCAAAATAACCAGAGCAAAATGGGCTGCAGGTGTGGCTCAAGCAGTAGAATGCCTGCTTTGCAAGTATAAAGCCCTGAGTTCAAAACCCAGTCCTAAAGAAAGAAAGAAAGAATCTAGCCTGCCAGCTCAGTCTACCTGAGTGGCCCTGGAGGTATCCCTCACCTCTGGGGTTCAGCTATTTTCACTGTAAAATGGAAATACCACTGTATTTCCAGCAGGAGACTTGGAAGGGTTGCAACCTTAGCTATAACTTTCCATCCAGGGTGCAGTACATAGCAGGAACATAGTAAAAGGTCACAATTAAAATTAAGAAAATCAGTAAGTGCACTTCTGGGTTAAACCTTGGGAAGACTGTTGTTCTGCAGTGTTGGGGATTGAACCCAGGACCTCACCAATGCTAGGCAAGTGGTGGGAGTGGGGGGGGGGTGGCTGGACAGGGGAAGGGGACAGCAGAGTGGGCTTGGAGACTCATTGAAGGGAGGGAGGGAGGGAGAAAGAAAGGGAGGGGGTAGGGAGGAAGGGAAGAGGGAGGAGGAGGAACAGCTCCCCTTGAAGGCACTGCAAGGCTGGAGACTGACCTCAGGGTACAGCGCTTACCTAGCATACACGGGGTTCTGGATTTGCTACTCAGTACCTCAAGAAAACAAAGAGAGAACCAGGTATGGTGGCACATGCCTACAATCCAGCTACTTGGGAGGATGGCATTTTAACACCAGTTTGGGCAAAAAGTTAGCAAGATCCATATCAACTAATAAGTCGGGCAAGACACTGCAGGTCTGTAATCCCAGCTACATGGGAGACACAGGATAACAGTCAGCGGCTGACATAGGCCAAAGTGTGAGACCCTATCTGAAAAACAAACTAAAAGCAAACAGGACTGAGGGTGTGACTTAAGTGGTGGAGTGTTGGTCTAGTAAGCATGAAGTCCTGAGTTCAATCCCCACTACAGCAAAAAATTTTAAAAAAAAACCTCTGTGAGGCTGCAGCACAGATAAATGGTTCTCAAAGCATGGTCCCCAGACCAGCAGCACCTGGGGGCTTGTGAGGAATGCAGTCTTAGGCCCAGGCCTGCCTGATCAGGGCCCCTAGGGTTTATGCAGCCTTCCAAGTGATTCTAAGAATATACAAGACAGTTGAAGAACCACATCTGGGCTATACGAGGGCTGGGGAGGGAGGAGCAGGGCTGTATCCTTCCAGGCCCCAGCTCTTACCTGTACAGGAGGGGCAGCACCCCCCATCTCTGGGGGGAATCGGGTGGGAACAGGTGACTTCACACTTAACCTTTCCACAGGTTACCACCCCATCCTGGAAACATAAGCAGAAGTTGCAGCCACCACCAGACCCCAGAAGCTCTACCGGGGCATCCCAGAACCCTCACACCCACCTCGCACCAGCACTGAGAACAGTCAGGCTGTGTCCAGTGGCTCCCTGATGCATACAAGGCTCCCAGGTGCCAGCAGGGATCAGGGCCTGTGGCTGGCCTGGGGCCCTTGGGTGTTCCCAGTAACTCCCCCTGGAGAAGGGAGGGGAGTTTGAGGGTCCCCAGCAGGGAGACAGTGGGCACTGGGGTGGAAAGCCGCTGGGTAGGGAACGACGTGGGTGGCAGATGGGTTGTCCTGACTCTGGAAGGAGGCCCTGAGGCTTCTGGAGGAGGGCTGTGTCCTGGGGACAGCGCAGGCTGGCCAGCCTCGGGAAGCAGCAGAGGCATCTTGGGGGACTGCTGGCGGGGCTGCAGGATGGCGGATGGGGCCAGCACAGCCTTCGGGGAAGCTGAAAGGGAAGCACGAGGTCTCCTGAGGGAGGCAGCAGGGGCAGGGACAAGGGTCAGGGGTCCTGGACTCTGCTCTACCACAAGTCAGTCTCTGGGACCATTTCCTCATCAACAAAGTGGATCTGACAGCAAACTGCTGGGGCCATGGTGACAACCTCATGGAAAATGGCTGGGAAGGCACCAGTGTGCAGGCAGAGGGGACTAGCCAGTGACTTGGACGTTGGGCTGCTTCAGACCAGATTGGCTTGCCCTCCCTTCCTTGCCATCCTCAAATCGATGTAAGTTTTCCTGAGCCCAAAAGACCTCTAATTCCTCAGGGGTCTATTTTAGGAATATTCATCCCCAACTCCTATGCCTGGGTTGGGGTTTCCTCCACCCAGAAAACAGAAAGAGAATGGTAAAGAATGGGAAGGGGAATGCAAATAGGATGAACTGAAAAAAGGGCCTGGTTAGTGTGTATATGTGTGCGTATGTGTGTGCGTGTATGTGTGTGTATATGTGTGTGTGTGTGTGTGTGTGTGTGTGTGTGCATGTGTGTCCTCTTCCATGACCCCCGCCCTGCAGGTGGGGCCTGGTGGGAAGGTGAGACCTGGGGTGGAAGGAGGGGCCTGGTGCCAGGAGGCAAGCCAGGCATTGAGGGCGGAGCCTAGCACCAGAGGGCGGGGCCTGGAGGGTGGGAGCTGGTGGGAGGGAGAAGCCAGGGAAGAGAGGAAGGGGCCTGGCTCTGGGAGGTCATGGCCAGGGCCAGGGCCAGGGCCAGGAGGGTGAAGCCTGGTGCTCACCTTCACAGGACACCCTGTCAGCTCGAAGCCTGAAGCCAGGTCGGCAGGTGCACAGGAAGCTGCCCACGGTGTTATGGCAGGAATGGTGGCAGACTCGCCTCTCCTGCGGCCTCCGACACTCGTTTACATCTGTGAAAGAGCCTCGTTACCTTGTCCATGCTGCAGACTCCTTCCTCCCGTCCCTTAGCCCAGAAGGCTGTGCGAGTTTCCCTGCGAAGTTCTCACAGGGTCTGCTCCATGGTGCAGGATGGGACTAGGTTGGCTGAACATGGGCTGAAATCTAGCGACAGTTGCCTTGGAAGGTTCATGCATCCAGCTGTCACTTAATGGATGTATGAGCAGCTCAACCCCAGTACTATGCAGCAGCCAGTAAGTGCTGGATGATGTGGCTGAGCCCTGCCGGGAATCGCACCTCCAAGCCTTCTACTGTCTAAAAAGCGTCTCAAAACTCACTGTGCTGCTCAAAGTGAGCCTCAGGATAAATACCTAACTATGCTAGAACAAGGTCTTTTTCAAGCCATGGAGTCCCACCTTTGATGTATGAGCCAAACTCAAACCAATTTCCCTTTCTGGAAATTTCTGCTAATGGACTGAGAAAACAGGGGTCTCCTTCTAACACAGGAACCAAGACATAAAGTGGTTTATTTACCCAGGGGGACAAAGGCAGCCAACAAAATGGGTGGGCAGAAAGGAATCCTTGGGGTGTATCTGGGAGAAGAGTGAAGGAAAAACATAAGAGAAGGAAAACAGCACATGGCCAGGGAACACCCAGCACAGGGTCTCCTGAGCGGAGCCAATGTCAGCCATGGGCTGGAGCCCTTGGGCTCCAGATGACCAGGAGGTCCAAGTGTTGACCTTCTCAGGCCCCAGGGCTGACCCCACCCACCTTCTTGATTGGCAGCCTGAGTGTGCAGACCTCGGAATCCCCAGTCTTACCTACACAGGAGTGCCGGTTGCCGTGCAGGTGGAAGCCAGGACGGCAGGAGCACCTGTAGCTGCCAATGCTATTCTTACATCTCTGCTGACAGGGGGTCCCTAGGCATTCATCAGTGTCTGCGAGGCAAAGGACAAGACTAGCGATCGCCTCCCCAGTTTAGAAACCCTCTCCCAGTCCCCTTTCCCACCCCGCTCAGGGCCATGGGGGACCACTTTCGTCCCCTCACCCAGTCTGTCAGTTCCTTAAACACTTCTAGCCAGCCTGCTTCTCTCCACCCTCTCCACCTCACCCCAGCCTGGGCCACCTTTGTCTCTAGGTTGGAGAATGGACAGCCCCTGTGTATCTTCCACCTCCATCTGTGCCATCCTCACACAGCCTCCAGGATGTTGTCACCAAAGGGATCCTCTGCCCAGGCCACTCTCTGCTCAAAACCTCTCTGGAGCTCCGGCCTGTGTGACAGCACACTCCTGAAACCTTTAAATACCTTTCAACAGCCTTGGGCTGCGCTTCCTGGCTCCTTCCCAGCCCCTCACCTTCACTCTTGCTTAATTAAGTTCTTGCCATCTTCTAAGCACACCCCACCTCCTGCCGGCCTCCCCTTTGACCCATATTCTGTCTTCCCTGAAAGCCTTTCCCTCTTGTCTGACTAGAAAACTCCTATGCCTACTTCAAAACTCAGCTTCCACAGCCCCTCTTGTGTACCAGCTTCCCCGTGTTGTCTGAAATTGTGAAAAACTGGAAATAATCTCCATACTCATCAATAAAAGAGCATACAAAATATGGATACCTGTCCTGCAGAATAGAAGGGGACAGTTAAAAGAGAGGCAGCCACCTGTTTCCTCTAATGTGGAAAGATCTTTAAGACCAATTGTTCACGGGGAAAATAAGCAAAGGAATGATTGGGTTCAAACACCAGCTCTAACATGATCTTAGGTAAGTTATTTAATTTTGTAAGGCCTCAGCATTCCTATCAATAAGATGGAGATAAAAGCCAGGTGCAGTGGCTCACACTCAGGAGGCAGAGATCAGGAGGATTGAGGTTTGAAGCCAGCCCAGGCAAATAGTTTGTGAGACCCTATCTCGAAAACAACCTTCACAAAAACAGGCCTTTTTTGGAGTGGCTCAAGGTGAAAGCCCTGAGTTCAAGCCCCAGTAATGGAAAAAAAAAATGAGATAAACAATATCAACCTCAAAGGATAATTTTGAGGATGAAATAAGAAAACACATGTAAAATGCTTAGACTTGTACCCAGAACACAAGAGTTTGACAAGCAGCATATTGCTGTAAGTGTGTACGTATGTAAGAACATGTAGTCAGACCGAGTGGCAGTGGCTCACGCCTGTAATCCTAGCTACTTGGGAGGTTGAGATCGGGAGGCTCACAGTTCAAGGCCAGCCAGGGCAAATAGTTCATGGGACCCCCATCTCCAAAATAACCAGAGCAAAATGGACTGGCGGTGTGGCTCAAGCAGTAGAGCACCTGCTTTGTAAGTGCAAAGCCCTAAGTTCAAAGCCCAATCCTACCAAAAGAAAAGAAAAAGAAAGAAAAAAAAAACAAAAACACATAACAGGCTGATAACTAGATGGCACAAACTGAGTTGTATCCCCCACCCCAAAATTTATGTTGAAGGTGTTCCTCCCAAAATGGTAGCATTTTGGAGATGGGATCTTTGGGAGATAATTCAGGTTGAATGAGGTCGTCAGGGTGGTACCCTCATAATGGCACTAGTGCCCTTAGAAGACACCAGAGTGCCTCTGTCCCTCTCTCGTCTGCAAGTCAGGAAGAGAGCCCTCATCAGGAACCCTGCCAGACAGCTCTCTGGAACTGGGAGAGTAAGTGCCTGTTGTTTAAGTGTCCCAGCCTGCAGCACTTTGTTACAGCAGCTCAAGATGATTAGGATAACAGGGTTATTCTCTAGGGAGAGTAGAGAGAGCGGCCAGGGAAGAGAGAGCCCAAGCCTTGCACTGTGACTTCCAAATATCTTTTAATACTTTATAAAATTTCACATGCAGAGAAAATAAAAGCGTAGTATCAAGGGGTTGCCTTTGACTCCTCTGCCTTGTGCAAATGAAACTGTCTCCTATATGACTTGTGTAAATCAAAGTCACCAGAAAAGGGCCAGTCACTGTTGAAAAGATCTCACCTTTATCACAAAAGAGGGAAGACCCCTTCTTCTCCCTGGGCCCCCACAGCCCTGGTACCTCATCCCAATCTTGTTCTTGCCCAAACCAACAGACTGAGAGGGGTAGGGTCCTACTGCCCTGGTATCCCCAAAACCTGGCCCAGAACCAGGCAGGTGGAACCAATGAATGCAGTCAATGACTGCCCCATCACAGCCCCTCCGCAGCCCCTCCGAACCTGCTCACAACCTGGGTCCCTCCAGGTCCTCCCTCATCTCAGTAGCCTCCTGCACTGTGTGAATCTGTCTCCTCTACCCCCTGCTGTCCCCAAGGCCTCTCCTTCATCCCCATCCCTCCACCCCACTCTAAAGCAGCAGCAGCCCTAGAGTCCGCCATTCTGGGGTTCAAACCTTCATTCTACCTGGGCCAGTCTCAGTTTCCCCATTTGTAAAATAGGGATGATATAGCATGCATCTCAGAGAACCGTGGCACAGGGACACATGGTCAGGGCCCAGCAGAACACAGCGTTCAGTGTGGTTTCACCCCGCACAGCCATCCCGTCTGGCCGCTCACCTTGGCAGCTGTGGCGGTCGGCGGATAGTCGCATACCAGGTCCACACTCGCATACGAAGCCACCTTCTGTGTTCACACACTGGCCCTCACAAGAGGAGCTTAAACATTCATCAATGTCTGGGAAGAAAAAACCTTCCACAGTTCACTCTGAGTGTGGCCATGACTCGGGAAAACTGACCCTACTCAGCAGTGCAGAATCCCCACTCACAGGCACCAGGAAAGTCATTCAGCCATGAGGGGACCCCAGAAAGAAGAGGCAGAGAGCCTAAGGGGTCAGAACCCATCCTTAACCCCCACAGACTAGATGGTGAGAGAAGATGGCTAGGGCAGAAGTCTGTGACAGCCCCACCCATGAGGCTACTCGCCAGGGCCCTCAAAAGGCCAGGGACAAGAAGGCTGACAAAATTATCAACAGTGTTCGTCTCTTAGATGTTCACTGAGCACCGACTGTGTGTGGTAGACCCAGAGAGGGGACTCTGAGGACACAAAAGTGACTCAAGCACAGCCTCGACTCTCCAGATGTTTTCAGTCTGATGACAGAGGAGCTAAGACATGTGCCCATAGGAGGCCAGTGCCTGGGGAGGGGGTAACATATGCCCTGTGTAGGAAAACCAGCCACAGCATGTAGGCCCTGAAGGAGCATGAGGGGCCCCTGAGCATCAGGAGGAGGGGCTGTCCAGGTGGCAAAGGGTTTTAGGAACTGGGGGTGCAGCAGCTGTGGTCTTTGGGAACTGTCAAGTCAGGACAGGTTAAGACCAGGCTGTGGGGTAACTGCTTGGATAACTTTAAGGTTAGCCTAGCCAGACAACAGTTGCTTACAACTGTAATCCTAGCTACTCAAGAGGCAGAGATCAGAAGTATCAAGGTTCGAAATCAGCCCTATCAAGCATAAGCCCAAATTCAAACCCCAATGCCACAAAAAAAAAAGGTTAGCCTAACAGATGCTCTGCCCTGGGGTAAGGGGGCTGGAAATCCCCAAATCCTGCTGCATGGTGGTCCTTCTCCACCTGAGCACCATGGCAGCTCCTGAGGACCTATATGATCTGCTGGGCCTACCAAGGTCAGCATCTGAGTCTCCACAATGTCTGGCCCCATGCCCACTAGACCCCTCCACTCTCCTTACTCCCTATTCAGCCTTCAACTGGCAACTTCCCTCAGGCAGGCCCTTTAAGACCATGTCCACTGCCTCTAAGAAGGACTCACGCCATCCCAAGGGGGAGCCCTACATCTCCATCCAGCCAGTGTCTCCCTGGCCTGTGCTTGCTTTGAAATTGTTCTCTGGCCCAGTTTGCCCCTGCTATAGAGAGTTATGCAGAAAGGCACTTGGGGACTCTCAGGTGCTCCAGCCACTTCTCCTTTCTAGAGGAGGTAATGCAACCAGCAAGCGCTCCATGACCCTTCTAGTGAGCCAGACCCTTTCACCCCACAGTCCTCCTTCTGGAATCAATTAGAGAAGCAGACAAGTGGCCTCTCTAGTGCAGAGGACACACAGCAGCTGGCCCAGGCGAGGGAAGATGGACAAGGAGGTATGTCAATGGCAGCAGTCATGTATGCAGCCACTAGCAATGGCGCTGTAAGGTCTACTCAGTGACACCCGCTCTACAAAGTTCAGTGGGAAGATTACAGATGTATGATCCCGACTTTATAAAACACACACATGCATGCCCTATATACACACGCGTGTACACACACAGACACACTCAGGGAAGGGACAGAACAAACACTTTGTTTTAGTAGAAATATATCTGGGTGGGCCTTCCAGGGGCGTTTCATTTTCACCTTTCTATGCTCACTTCCCAAATGCTTTTAAATGAATTGTCATTTACTTTTCTCTTCAGAGAGAAACACGTTATTGTGACAAAATTAAAACTTTAAAAAAGCCGGGCGAGGTGACACACAGCTATAATCCTAGCACTCAGGAGGTGGTGGCAGAAGGATCATGAGTTCAGGACCAGCCTGGGCTACATACTGAGACCCTATCTTAAAGGGAAGAAAGGCAAAAAGCAGGGCTGGTGATGTGGTTCAAGTGTTAGTGCGTCTACCTAGGCAAGGGCAAGGCCCTGAGTTCAAACCTCAGTACTGCCAAAAAAATAAAAGACCCTCCAAAAAGGTTCTTGCTACTCTGGAGAGACTAGCAAGAATCTGGGCCTGGGCCACGTGGCCCACGCCTGTAATTCTAGCTACTGGGAAGATAGAGATCAGGAGGATCACAGTTCGAGGCCAGCCCAGGCAAAAAGCAAAACCCTATCTCAAAAATAACCAGAGAAAAAAGGGCTGGAAGTATGTTTCAAGAGGAATGGCACCTGCCTAGCAATCAGGAAGCTCTGAGTTCAAATCCCAGTGCCACCACAATAAAAAGAATCTGAGGAAGGTAAAAGACTTCCTACGGGAATTTTTAAAATCACAAATGAATAATACGTATACAAAATAATTATTGACTTCTGTTTTCCTTATCTTTCAAATGTCAGTTTATCCCCAATACTAGATGCATGCCCCTCTGTGGGCCCAGCACCTTGCACATGCCAGGTACAGTCCCCCTTACATTGTGCTGTCCTTGTCCTTGACCTTGTACACTTCCATATGTCTGGAATCTCCATAACAGCAGTGGTGACCAGCTGATCATCTGTAACCCCAGCCAAAGCTCAGCTCCTGCCCAAAAGAGCTGCTCAGTAAATATTTGTGAGAAAACAGAAGTGACACATTCCTGTGTGTGCCTCTCTGCCCACTCTCCGGGACCACAGCTTGTCCTGGCTCCTGGCTCCAGAAGGAGATGGTACTCCCACCCTTTCCTCCCCAATCCCTAGGTCTCTCACCTGCACACCTGATGCCAACAGCTGTCTCTGTCATCAAGAAGCCCACAGGGCACACTCGAGCCACCTCCTGACAGCCACCATGGTTGCAGGTAATGTCACAGCCATACTCCCCGCAGGGTCCATGGGCTTCTAAAACAGGCATCACACAGGTGAGCACACACCAACACAGCAGGGCACCAGGTGGTGGCCCCAGCCACCCTGCTGCACCATGCTCTTCCTGAATTGTTAGGAGAATCATTTTGGAAGCAAACAGGCCTGATTTTCAACCTAGCTCTTCCACTTTCTAACCATGCGACCCAGGGCAAGACAATAACTTCCACGTCTCAGCTTCCTCACCTATATAATGGGTATGAAAATACCCACCTGATACGGTGGTTTGAAGAGGACAGGCTAGAACACATCTCAAGTGCCCAGTACTTGGCACAGAATCTCAATGTTAATTCAGTTGTTCCTGTCAGCCATGGCCCACCCCAGTTACCTGGGCAGGTGGCGCCATGCTCTCCATCTTGGCAAGAACAGACATTGGGAGCGATGCAGACGCCACTCCCACAGCCAAAGGAGCAGAGAGCTAAGAGAAGAAATGCAGGTGAGGGTATGGGAACTGGGCCCCAACATGCCCCTTGGCCTAGGGACCAAATCCCAGCAACAGACACTGCTGCTAGGGATTGAAAGGCTCAGGGAACAGGGACAGGCACTTACGCAGGGTGCAGTGCCCACTGCCCATGGATGGGGCCCAGCCAGGGCAGCAGCCACTCCCAAAGCCCGAGAGGCAGACATGGGGGCCCAGTCGGCGTCTGCAAGAGAGGAAAGCTCTTGGCACACTCTGTACAGGGAGAGGGATCAGTCAACAGGAAAGCCCCCCAGCCAGTCTGTAAGTTAGTCAACACAGTTCTCCAAAACACCCTGGGAAGAACAGGAAGTTTCCAAAGAAAAATGACTCTGACAGTCTTTCCTGGAGGCAGGACAAAAACAAAGTGTCAGAGAACAGATATTGCCTACTACAGATATGTGCCCTATGAACACAGAGCAAAAAATCAGCCAGGAGAGAGAGCTCAGAGCTGAAGGGAGACTCTAGATGAAGAGCCTGGGGGATGGCCACTGCAGGACCTTTGCACTTGCCAATCCCTGTTATTGAGAAGGTTCTTCCTGGTAGGATGTAGTAGTTTATACCTGTAATCCCATCCCTCAGAAGGCTGAGACAGGAGGATGGAGAGTTCAAGGTTAGCCTGGGCTACATAGTAAGACCTTGCCTAAAAAAAAACAGTAACAACGAAAAACGTTCTTTCTCAAACACACTCAGCTCATTCTTGCCCTTCACTGAAGTCTCTGCTAATTCAGAGACCTTTCTTGCCCACCCTTACCTAGCTTTATTTTTCTCTGTAACACTTCCTGACACATTAAATTATTTATCAAGTTGATGATTTGTTCATTGTCTGTCTCCCCTACAACTCTCTAAGGATAATGGCTTCTTTTTTCACTCTAGCACAAAGTAAGTGCTCAATAAATGGCTATTGAGTGAGAGGGTGAGAAGAGGAACCAGCAGAAGAGGGGGAAGGAGAGCACTTCTGAGGCACCAGAGAGCTGCCCAAGCTGGATGCCAGCAGGTCTGCCCAGGCCAGCCCTTCTAGAGTTGGGAGGTATGGGAACCAAGGCCCAGAAAGGGCAGAAAGCCAGACAGGCACTGACTATGTTGGACACCAGGCAAGACATAGGGGTAAGCTGAGGAATATTCCACTGTCCCCACCTTCAAGAGATGCTGGGTAGACAGGAACCAGGTGATAAGAACACAGTGTGACAGTGCCACTGTGGGAGGGCTCTGAGGAGGTTACCTGGAAGAGCTGAGAAGTAAAAAGGAGGAAGGGGGAGTAGCACAACCACAAGCCTGGCAGGGACAGAAATAGGGACTAAAATCACTTCCACAAAGGACTAGACAGAGGGCCATAGATCCCACCTGCTTTGAACTGGGAAGCCAAGCACAACAGAATAGACACCAGAGAACCCTTCCCATTGTACTCTGTGTCCAGCACTGACGATGACAATCTAGCAGTCAGACACTTTACACTGCACCAGAGTCGTGCTTAGCCCTATTGGGGACATGGGACAAGATTTGACCTGGTCTTGGGGAGCAAAGTCTGTGCCAAATGTGATGGATTCTTGAAAAGGAAGCTTAGGAGACCACGGCAGTACAGAAAAGTCTGTAGAAAACTGTCCCTGGGGCCCAAGCAGCCCCTTTCATCTCTGAAGTCAAAACCATAGGGGAGGGGGCTTGCACAGATGTCCCTCTTGCTGAAGAGATGGTGGCAGCAGCTTGGGAGGAGGGGCCAGCAGCTCCTCAAACAGAGCTTAACAACTGAGCTGCTGGAAACTCAGAAAGGGACAAGCGGTGCCACCAAAGCGGCAGACAGCAGAGTGCCTGGGGAAGCAGGTGAAGTCGCACCCTCAGGTAGGCAGGGGCGGAGCGCACCCCAGAGGGCCCCCCAAAGAGTCTCCTAGAGCTGGCGGTGACCGGAAGACAGGTGGTAGAGGCTGGCAGCCTGGGCAACGCCCACTCTGTGTGAGCAGAAACTGGCGGGGGCTGTGGAACACAAGTGCGAGCCTGGCGGGGCTGCCCCCGCCGCGCGCCCCCCGGAGCACGTGGCCGCGGGCCAAGCCGCCCGCTGACACGGTGTTCCCTCGCAGCGAGCAACACGCACACACGCTCACCACCCGTGGTGGCGGGAGGTGGGGGAACACGTGGGAGGATGGTATGGGTCCGGAAAGACGGAGCAGGGCACTCACCCCACCCCTCACCCCGCACTCACACGGGCGAAAACCCAAGCGCAACTCAGACAGACCCTGGTAGCTCCAAGGGCCACCGTGTGCGCAAAGGCAGGACACAGGGAAAGCCCCCAGTCCCAGAGCGGGGCCGCAATGGAGGAGGTCAGGCGCGGCGAGTCGAGAGCCAGTCGGGACCAGACGGCACGTCCAGGGGTCCCCCTTACCAAGGGTCAGCGTCCTGCGTCCGCGTCCTGGAGGGAGCACTGGCTCTCCATCTCCCCGCCCCCTCCGAGGTCCTAAGCAGGACAGTCCCACTCAGGGGCGCAAGACAGGTACCCGCCCCACGCACAAGTTGCTATCTCTTTGTCCCGACCCTCTGGGCTGCACCCCGCGCTGGCGACCCGCTGCAGGCGGTTCTAGGGCGCGCCTCCCAGCTCCACGCGGATTGCGCTCCCCGGAGAGGCCGCGGAGGGGCGCGGGGCTCTTACCTCTCGGCCACGAAGTGTCCGGGAGGCTTCCTCCCGGTGTAGCCTCGGGCCGGGGCCCCCGGCAGCAGGAGCACGACGCAGGCGGCCCGGAGGAGCAGTCCGGCCCACATGACCGGCGGCGGCGGGTCCCCCGGCTCCGTTCGGCTCGGGCGCTGCGCGCGGGGGAGGGGGTTGCCGGCCCTCGCCCCTCCTCCTGGCGCGGCGGGGAGCGAAGCAGCGATCCCGGAGCTGGCACGCGTTGCTGAGCAGGGGGCTGAGGGCGCCGAGAGGAGGGGCCGGGGAGAGCTGCAGATGGCTAGAGAGGAGGCGGGGGTCCTGCACCTAGGAGCGAAACACACAAAAGGCAGCGCCGCGGGCTCGAGAATTCGTCTCCCGGAGGCGCAGAGCTTTGACCCGGGCAAAGATCAGGGACCCCTGGGGGCGGGGTTTCGCCCTCTGCCCACAGCCCCTGCCCGCGTTGGGAGTTGGTTTCCCGAGAAGCGCTGAGGGCGTCAGAACAAGGCCTCGGTTAGAAAGCAAGTTCGGGAACAAGGCTTGTCGGAGACGCCTGCACCGTCAGCAGGTGAGAATACTGGAAACCCGAACCCAAGAGGCAGGTCGTCGGGCCGCTTACAGTTAGGATTGCCCCAGCCTACCAGCATGTCTGGGTGCGTGGATCGGTGGCTGGTGTTCGCTCCCTGGCCAGAGAGCAGGCCTTAAACCCGCAGAACACTTGGGCATCAAAGGGTAAAATGGGAAGCCTCCTGGCTCACCTGGAGGTGAGCAGGGAGCTGGCTGGTTGGCAGCGAAACCAGGACAGCAGAACTGGAAGACTCCATTTTGCCCCCTTTTGGAACTGGCAGAAGCCAGGTCAGAGACCTTAGGCTGTGGAGGGATTTAGTCAGGGAAGTAATGAGCAAGTGGTGGATGGAACTGAGAATCATCCAGCTGGGAGAAAGCTAAACAGGAGAGCCAAATTTTACCTAGAGTGAGGAAGGAAAATCTTCCCTAGCTGCCCTATCCAGCTTTTACATAATTGCCCCTAGGAATAAGGGACTTGATACCTGTGAAAAAGCAGCCTGGTCCTGTTTTTTTTTAATAACTACATCTGCCAGAAAGTGTCTTTACTTCCCAAACAAGCTCTGTTCCTTCCGGTCTTTCACCCTGTCACTGAGGTCCTTGACAGAGGTGGCTTATAAATGAACACTGTGTGCCAGCTGTGACCTGGACCCTAGCCTACTTCCCACAGACACCATACTTCTGTTAACACAGCCAAATGTTACTTTGCTGCTTTGGCGACCCTGTGAACACTGTTACTGCATGAGTTTGTGATACGAGAAAGCCTCAAGTGTTTGTTGTTGTTGTTATGTGTGTATGTTGACATTAAACATAAGGTGCCAAGTCAGTCTTTCCACCTGAACCTGTGCGGCTCATTTTTTGCAGATGTCCACACTTAGGCCCGAATGTCATTCCGTTAGTTTCAGCCCATCTTCTAGCAAACAAGTTCACAGCAAGCAGGTTGCCAACGCATTTTGTAGAAAAGATGAATGTGACTTCCATGTGTGCGTTCTGAGCCCTAAGGACCCTCAGAGTCCTAGGGCATCTTTTCCTCTTGCCTCAGACATTCAAAGGCTGCACTTTCCATTGGACCACCACTGAGTGTCCATGGGTGCTCCTCCTTCCTGGCCCCAGGAGCCACCCACCAATCCTCTCCGCATTCACACAGTTCGTGCCATCTTTCATTGCTCCAGCATACCTTGAACACCTCCATTCTTAGCTCTACTTCAGGTAGCCCCCATCCTGTAGAACTCACTCTGGCACAGTTTACTTCATATCCACCAAAGGCAGGTGGAGTAGCCAAGAAGCAGCTTGTGCTTAAAGAAAATCCTCATCTCCAGGAGGCTGGAGACTAAGTAGGAAATTCCTGCTGGGGAACCCCCAGGCACCTCTCTGAACTGCCCTGGCATTTCCTTCATTACATCCACCTTGCCCCTCCTACCCACAGTTGGCTCCTCTGGTTTGGTTTTTTTGCTGATTTCTTTTTCTTGTCTTCTTGTTTGGCCCCAAAACTTCAGTTTGGACTCCAAGTGCCTGGTTAACACTGTTCATCTCCAAGGACTAGTTTGGGCATATCCTTCACTGAAGTTCCTCAGTGTTTCCCCTCCATTTCTGTGGCTTCTCAGTAACAAAAAGAGACCCTTCACTGAGGATGGAGGATCCAAGTTATTGGCTGCAGAATGCCGGCCTCTGGCTTCAGGCCCTTCCAAATGGTCGTGTGATGACTCAGTGTTTCTATTATTCTCCCCAAGGTCCCTTTGTGCAGAGGCCTGGAGTGAGACTAGTTCATCAGTGCCTGCCCAGAACGAAGGTCCAGCTGGCTGGAGCAAGATTCTGAAGACCTTTCACCCCTAGGAGGTGATTAATGGTTTTTAAGAGGGGATGTGGGAGTGTGGCAGCAGAATGTCAGTTTCCAGAGGGTTGCTGCAACTCAGTCCCAAGTGAATATGCCCCGGATTGTGGGAAACAAAAAACAGCAAAACACTGCAAGGACTCCACAGCTTCCAAATTTAAGATTAATAAGTGATGACTCAACGTAGTGGGTCTCATGGGTTAGACCATTATCGGGTCCTAGAATGGCTGGGTGTGGTGGTACGTACCTGTAACCCCAGCACTCACAAGGCTAAGGCAGGATTATGATGGGTCTGAGTGACAGACCCTATTTTTAAAAAGCCAAGCAAACAAACAAAAGCACCAGAATCATTACCTCACCACATTCCATTTGATCTTGGCACCTTACAGTCAATCCTCCCATCTAGGACTAAGACTTTAGAACAATCACAACTGGAAACCTCTTGCTTGCCTACCTCAGAGACTGGAGCTGGTAGGAAGGGAAAATGGGTGCTCTTTCAAATTCCAACCATGACTCTTAAGAATTCAAATCACATTATTGCATTTCAAGTTCAAACTGTGGCTTTTATGGCATGCTGATTTTTTCTTTGAAGACCCTTGCTCAGAAATCCCAGGAAAATAAGCAGAAAAGAAGGGCAGTAAAACCCAAGAAATGTCTCCAGGGAAGGACACTTACTCAGAAGACCCTCCCACCCCCCAAAATATGAAATGCTTTCTCACCCTTCCTTTTATGTTAAAATCTCTTCAAAACCTTAGCTTGAACTTGAAACCACAATTTTCCTGACACAGTATCTTGAGCCAGCCAATATGCCTAGGATCAACCTTGCTCCACCACTAGGACCAGATCACTGGCAGATTATCTGACACCCTGCCTGCTTATCTGACAGATAGGCTGTTTGGTGGACCAAAGAATGAGCCCTCCGTCTATATTGTCAAACATAAGGCACTGCAGGTTTACCTGAGTAGACTAGAAGAAATAAAATAAGATGCAAAAGGGTGTGTGGCCACAGGAAGCGGGAGGTACATGAGGAGCTACTTGGTGGTCAAGCAGCAGTGCCTGGGGGCTGGCTGGCTGGCTGCCACACCCAGCTGGCTATAAAATGGGGATGGGACAGGAAAGGCAGCCCATAGCCTCAGGCCCAGCAGGTTACTAGCAGAGGTAGTAATGAACTTCCAAAACCTGATACCTGTCACCCCTGAATTCCACCAAAACCAATCACATAATAAAGGATAGATGTCACTTTACTGCATGATAGTACTAAGCAAGAACAAGTGACTACAGCAGCTGCCGTGACACTGTGGGGGAGCACTGCTATGTTTGCAGTACACTGGCAGAGTGGCAGGGTATACCTGGGAAACTGGATAGCTGGGCAAAGAGAAAGAAACAGCAAACACAAATGTAGCTTTCTTCTTAGATTCTACTTTATTTGGTAAAACTCAGAAACTAACAACCAATTCACAGCCCCCCCACCTCCTTCTCTGTGAAGGGAGTTCCCAGAGACAAAAGGGCTGTGGCTTGGGGATCATCCACCATCCCAGGTTTCCACTCAGGCAGCCCATGGCCTGACAGGTCTACAGGCTGATGTTTTCAGAGGCAAGAGAAGCAAAAGGAAGCTCTCACTTCAAGACGATGACACCCTCCTGACCCTGTTCCCCTCTACCTTAACCTCCCCACCCCAACAACCTAAATAAAGATAGTGGAGGACAAAACACACACGCATAGAGCTTCCTTTCAGCTGCAGAGCTGCAGAACCCTTCCCCCAGAAGGAGGACAACTGGCAACACCAGTCGAGGCTGGGTGGTCCGAGGTGATGGCTAGAATCATGTAAGACTGGTAAAAATCCAGGGAGAAAAATATTCCACCTCCAGCCCATCCCCAGGTCTCTATGAACTGGTTTTAGTTCTAAGAAAGCCCCATTTCCACATAAGTGAGCTGTGGCTTTGGGGACAGCTGGCTTAGGGAAAAGCCTCCCCCATTGCCAAGAAGACAATGTGGGAGAGGAAGGGGAGGACAGGATGACAGAGCCTTTGGGGAGGACAGGAAAGGGGCTCTCTGCCCTTGGCTAATGGATCCGGGTCAGCTCCTCCACAACTTTAATGAGGTCATCTGCGGTGGCTTCTCGCTTCATACCGCTGCCATCGTCATACTGTAACAAGATGAGGGGAAGGGCCATGACGGTCAAGAGGACTCCCTCAGAGAGACAGGGAAACACCCACTGCCACAAACGGAGAAACACAACTGCCTCAGAGGCCTCTGCTGGAAAATACCCCTCTCCATTGAGCACAGTCCAACTTCTAAAACTGTGAAAACTAAAAATTTCTAGGATTCCGACACTACCTCCCATCTTGGTCTTGTCAGATCCCAGACATGCTCAAATGTGCCCCTCTCACCAAAGTAGAGAGGCTAATGTGAGAAGAATTCCAAGAACAGTGCCCAGTACCTGCTAAGTACCCTCAAGCAGCAACTACAGGGCCTTCGTTTCTGTGTGGTGAACACATGAAAGGCCATACAGGCCTCCTGGCCCCTCAGATCTGAGGTACCTAGAGTCCTGACAGTCTCTAGCAGGCTCTACCCTGTGACCCTGCCTGAACACACACGGCTCACCTGTAGGTTTGCCACGACCTCCTGCATCTTGGGGCGGCTGATATCCAGGAAACTCTCAATGAGGTCTCCATCGATGAAGCCCGTGGCTGGCTCTGTCTTTCGCTCAGTGTGAAAGGA